TTTTTTGGGATTAGTATTTTTATCTGGTTGTTAGCCGCCCTGAGTCCGCAAGGAGAAGGGCGGGATATAAATTAAATAAATAAATAAATAAATATATTCAAAGCCCAAAATGTTCTATAGACAAATAAATTTGGGAAACCATTACAAGCAGTAAAAGTGTGAACAAAAATAGCAATACAAAAAGAGGTATCACATTGTAAAAGATAACATAGATGATCTTCCTCAAAATAATAAGAATTATGTAAGTGCCGTTTAATGGGGTAATGAATAAATCCTATAGAAGTGTCTACTTAATAATGATAAATGTAATTGAGTAATAATGATAAATGTAATTGAGTTAATGCACATGTATCTATACTAAATAGTTCCATATGTACACTTTTTGCTTTTGCAAATAGCAATAAACGCTTCTGTTTATCATTTTATCATGATACTCTTCCATCTTTGGATCATTTCAGGCCAGTGACACAAACAGGGCGACCCTTGACAGGTTTTGTACGTCCTGGCACACAGGCTGGGAGACCAGGTAGCATTGAACAAGCCTTAAAGACTCCAAGAACTGCTCACACTGCCCGTCCCATGACTAGTGCTTCAGGGAGATATGTCAGGCTTGGAACAGTAAGGATCCTTTGTTTGTACTCTAGGAAATTGGAACTACATGTATACAGGATAGAAGGACTATTGGTGTTTTTCTTCCCCTACTCTTTTTTCTCCCTGCTATGTTAATAACTTATTAAAACTAACAGCATTTTTATGTCTGTTTACATGATTGCACTTTTGAAAAATATGTGTAATCTGTATAATACTAATAGGCTTTGCTCATTATTGTTTAAACCAATGAAGATCAAATGTTCCACAAAATACACAAACATCCATTTATGCATGGTAATGAGTTAAAAATACAGTTTAGTATTATAGTCCTGTAAGCCCCACTGAATTTATCAATGCTTTATATCATATATATTTGATTAATAAATAAATAAATAAATATTATGCATTCACGATTGCCTTTTGTGGAATTTTCAAGCATGTAATAGTCTTTTGTACAGTTTCGTATCTGCCCTGCATGCTACAGATAACAAATGATATGTTCCATATTTTCATTTATTATTTCCATTTTATTGTCCTCATTATTATGTTCATTACTGGTGTTCTTAATATTTGTAATAACTTTAAAAATTTTTTAGTAACTTTTCATTCCACCCAAGGACCTTTGTTATTGGGTAGCTTAGACATGTTAACAATAGAAGAAAAATGTGAAGCGAATAAATATTTTTTTTTAAAAAAAGGGAGATTCCTATTGATTTCACTTTACTGGGGGCTGTCTGAGTTATATGACTCTGGACGGGCACTGGCGAACGAGTTTTCTGTTAAGCTCTATTGCCGCTGTTGTTGCTGAGGAGTGGGTGAAAGACTAGTTGACTCAACTCTAGGAGCAGTGACAAGAGCTGGGAATTGTGCAAGTGTCACAATTTATTCTCATGAATTATTTTTTATAGGCACCATATTGATTTCTCAGAATTGTACATTGTATTGCCAGTTATATTTCAAACATGGTATGTAATTTGATGCTTTTCCCCACTACAGGCCTCGATGCTCACTAATCCTGAGGGTCCTTTCATAAATGTATCCAAACTGAACTTAAGTAATTATGCTCAAAAACCAAAGTTGGCAAAGGTATGTGCTTGTTTAATATACCATTCTTGATTTGTTTATTTTAAATCATCTGTTAATTAAAACATGTTAATAGCTTTTGTGTTTTTACTATTTTTTTTTTCAAGAGAGGCACAAATTCAGTATAGTGTAATTTCTCAGCCACAATAAAGCAATTTTCAGCCCCTGAGTAAAAAGATGCATGCAGTCGGCACCAAGCCTCTCAGAGCCTCCCCTATACGCCTGAGACACCCTGTACTTCTTACTTTACCTTGCTGCCTCTCCACTCAGGAATGAAAATCCTCCCTGCCAAAATCCAAGCAATATTTTCAGCCCCTGAATGAGGAAAGACATTGGCATGCGGCCTGTACCGGGCCTCTCAGGACCTCCCCTACACCCCTGAGACACCCTGTACTTCTTACTTTATTGTTTCTCCAGTCAGGACTGAAAATCCCACTTTGATTTCAATTCCCTTTCATTTCCAGAGGCTGGGTGAAAGAGCTCCCCACTGAAGGATTTCAGCTCCATGCCTACTTAAAGGATTTCAGCTCTGTGCAAACAGGCATGGAAGATTTCAGTTCCATGAAAGCAAGCATGGAGCCAAAAATCCTCCTGCAGGGAACTTTTTCAGGCAGCCTCCAAAGATGAGAGTGTATACTCTTGGCAGGTGGCAGCAGCTTGCAACCTTCTCTACCTGTTCCCCCATTGATTTTCTGGGAAAGCTGGCAGAGAGGATTGCAAATGGTGATCACATGATTATGGGCACTCAACCCATTGTATATTGATGATTATCTGTATTTACAATGCGATCAGTTGTTCAAAGCAAAGGTTGATCTTCCAAGATAATTTTCAGAGCATCCAACTTTTCAGCAATGAACGCCCTCCCCCCCCCCAATCCTTCTTTGATAGGTACAGTAACTGCAACACATAAAAGATACCCCATTTCCCTGGCTTTCTCCCAGAATTTAGAATAGAATGATGTGTCAGCCTCTGTCAACTAATTGGTTGCTTGGTTTTAGGTTTATAAACTCTATTTTCCTTTGGGCTGCTTATATTTTGGTTTTTGTATTTGTATTTTTCTCCTTTTAATTGTAAACTGCCTCAAGTCATTGGGAATCACATGTTCTATAAATTGTAATTAATTAATTTTAAGTGTAAGATTAAGAATTCTTGCCTAACAAGGCAGTAACATTACATAGATTTTTGAAATGTGAATTCTTTATTGCATTCAATATTTTTACTAAATCTGCTTTTAATTTTAAATGAGCTAATAAAATACTTATTTCTAATTAATTGTAAGTAGATCTTATTTGCCTCCAATTTGATGACATATTTTAAATTTGTTTTAATAGGCTTTGTTTGAATACATTTTTCATCATGAGAGTGATGTTAAGAATGTAAGTACCGGTATATTTATTTTTAAAAGGTTAATGTTCTTTCCATTTTTATTTTGAGCGTGAGATAAATATTTAACAGTTGAAGAAAACTACCAGTAATGCCACCTAGGGCAGGCTTATTTATTTAATACAGGATAATGGTGTTGCATTTTCTTACTTCAGAAAAATATATAATTTTTTGCTTTTGGTTGAATTCAGTTATTTCATGTTAAATAATTTAAACTTAATAATTTATTTTTCAAATAATTTTGGTTTCCCCCAAAAAACATAGTGGTCAGTTGAAATCAACAGATGGTTTCTGAAATCAAATGGTTTTTGAAAACACTTGCCATTTCTTTTTTAAAAATACTGATTGATTGATTGATTGATTGCCATCAAATCAGTGTCAGTTCTTAGCAAACATGTGGATAGATTTTCTCCATGATAATATGTCCTTAATCTTCAGCTTCAAGAAATATATTGATGTCTAAAAGAGGTTTTAAGGAAAACCATCTGTGTAAAATATTAAAATAAAAGCAGGAACACCGAATGATTATTATTTCCAAACTGGAAAAAAATATATGAACATGTAGCTCACTGCATATAGAAATATATACTTTTGTTTTGCTAAGGAAGGCATAGTATGGAGAAATTTACATTGAAAAATATATAGAGGATGATAGAAGCTATATGAATGAACAAGGCTCTAAAATGAGATTGTAATGTTCAACATGGAAATTTTCACATTTTTCTGAAGTACCAAAATAGGATACTTTGGACTCCTCCAATAGATTTTGCAATTAAGTACTTCAGTTATGCAAGCAAAATATTCTGAAGAAATACCAACCTACCATTCTTGTTTTTCCTTCCTACTGTAGATTTATGGAGGGTTGGGTGTCAGATTTAGGCAATAATGAGATGTTGATACAGCACATACAATACTGTAATTATTCCTTCTCCCATCATTGCAGTGTATTGGAGTTCTAAAGTGGAAATTGGAAGCCATTTGTATCTTGAAAAGCTTTGGAATTTACTGGGTTCAAGGGTAAATTAAATCTGACAAACTGTCTTGGCCTATAAATATGGTGAGAGACTTCAGTCTCCAAATGAATATACCTGAACGTTAAACAGTTGTAATCAGTATTACAACTGAATAATAACTTAAAATGTTGATCACAAAGAAGAATTAGAATTATTACACCTTTGTCCTATATGAAGGAGTTAGTGTTGCTTCATTGGTGTGCTGAAGATGTCTTTTTTTTTTCTTGACATTTGCCAAGAAATACAAGTGGCTTTTATCTGCAGTTGAGAAAAGGCCTTAGCATAAATGTTTTTCTATATCTGCAGTTTGGGACTTGTTTTTTGTTGCTTTGTGGATATTCAGAACAGTGATTAATAGTTTATTCATGCAGAAAATAAGGGTTAGATTGCCTGCACATTATAGCTTTATGTGTTCATATCATCTGCATATAAGCTCCTGCTAACTCCTTCCTTGTTTCTTTTTGTTGAAAATTAATTCTGCACTACTAACTTTTAATTTCTATGTAATTGCTGTTAGGAATAATACTGAGAACTAGCATTCATTCTTTCCATTCTGATTCTTAACCGTGTAGAAATAATCTAATTGCTAAAATATCCAAATATGACATTGAAAAGTATATTGATACCCGATGTGATCAAATGCTAGTTAAGTCATTGAAAGTGACCTCACAGCCTTATCAGTATGTTAGTCTCTCCCTTGTTCCCCAATTGCCATCTAGGATTTTAATTCATGGCATCATTCAGATTTCTTGAAGCTTTTCTCAAAATGATTTATTGTATTAAAAAAGTAGCTCATTTATCTAAACTGTTGTAAGTTTGCTTTTCATTAAGGATATGCCTTATTTATATAAACAGAGGAAGCTATAGTGAATTATGGATGTGATGTGTTCCTTTGTGAAGAATTGGAGCATATGAGGGATTAGGGAAGTATTTATGTCTTTGCACAGAATGCTGAACTTGCAATTAACTGCACAAAATTTGTGTAAACCATTTCAGTATTCAAATATGCATGCACCAAATGATTGGAATGATCCAATTTAAGAAGAATCCAACCCTAACAGGAATGAATATTAAAAATGGAGAAGATAATTCATTGTTTGAGTTAAATTATATAGATGGTAGAGGGTTTTGAGCAATTTTTTTAAGTGCTTTTATCAAGAAAACTGCCAGGTTTGAATAGGTTAAAATTATGCCATCAAGGATTCGTTTGCCATTTCAACTCATGAGGCAAAATACAAAAGGGGAAAGTCTAGTATATTTATCTGATTTAATCTTATAATTTTTTTGCAACCTGCTAAACATAAATTGTATATGTTTTTTCCTCTCAAAATTGAAGGTGACCTTTGTAAATTTGCTTCCCTTTCAAGGCTTTAGATTTGGCAGCATATGCCACACAGCATGCCCAATTCAAGGACTGGTGGTGGAAAGTGCAAATTGGGAAGTGTTATTACAGGTAAACTGTCCATTTTGAAATCTGCAACTTCAAGCTTGCTTCTTTGGTGGTACCCTCATATTATGAACATATGCTGTCCGTTTGAGAAGGACTTTTAGGCAGACCTTCAAAACGTACATTTAATTGGGAAATTAGCTCAATAGGACTAGAGACAGTCTTCAAAACCTACAAAAAAGGAAGTAAATCAATATTTGCTTCAGTTAAAATACAGTGTTTCATTTAACAATCTTTCCTGTGATAAAATTAAAGACAGTGAAATTTTTATCCCATCCAGAACTACTACTTTTATGGTTTTTGAAGTTTGAAATACCAAACATAACATTTAAATCTTGTATTGAACATGGTGTACAGTATATGATAGCAGAGGACTTAAGAAAGCAGTTGCTAATTTAAAAATGTACCAAAGGGGAAACAAAGTATTACCAGTTGAACTTGAATAAAGAACATTTGGTATTACAAGGATCTTTCAAAGAAAACACATTTTAAAAAGGCAAACTGCTTACAAATCCATTGCCTTATAAATAAACCAAATTCTTCTTTGAATGTTATTTTTATCCTTTATGATTATGGCAGTACGAAGCTGTTCTCAAAAAAATTAAACAAGGTCAGTTATGGTTAATATTTGGATAGTAGAGTACCAGAATTCCTGGGATTAGGAACATTTTTAAATCATTTTTAAAACATTTTTTTTAAAAAAACCTTGGTGGAAGAACTGAATTTTTATCCCATCCAAATTTTATCTCATATATGAATTTGATAAATGTTCCCTCCACCGTTCATCTAAATAATTAATAAAAGTATTGAAGAACACAGAATCCAAGATTGAACCATATGGTATTCACTTTATATTTCTTAATAGTTGGATGAACAAACACTAATGAGCGCTATTTGAATGGGATGTTCAAGCAAATTATCTTCTATCCAGCCCATACTTTGCTAACTTGCTAATTAGACTGCCTTGGGGTACTTAAGGGTACCTTAAGTGATTTGCTGAAGGTTGGCTATTCTGTAGTTTACTAAATTCCCTCCTTTAAAAAAAAAAAGTTGAGGACAGTGTTTGCCATCTCAGTTGTCTAGCACTTAACCCATTTCACAGGATTTCTCTCTATAGAAAGACCATCAGCACGTTTTTCAATATTCTATGATGTAATTTGTCTGACCCTGGAATTTTAACTCATTCATATATTGTAATTTTATATGTATGTATGTATGATGTATGTATGTATGTGTAGTCTTCAATTTACAACAGTTCATTTAGTGACCATTCAAAGTTACAGTGGAACTGAAAAAAGTGACTTATGACCGTTTTTCAGTTACGACCTTTGCAGCATCCCCATGATCATGTGATCAAAATTCAGATGCTTGGCAACTGGTTCATATTTATGACTGTTGCACTGTCCCAGGGTCATGTGATCACTTTTTGTGAAATTATTAAATTTAATTCACACACACACACACACAAATATATATTTCAATCAGTTGCAAGTTTTTATACTGCCCTTTCATTTTACTCTTCATAATTGTTTGATGTAACATGTTTCCTTTGTAGAAAAAAAACTGAGCTAAAAATAGGAATTATATCATTCTGCATTTTCTTCATTGAGTAGCTACTTTCATTTTATTTGGAACATAATAAAAGACATTTATCTTATCTCATTTTGATATTTAGCCTTTCTAATTTCATTTTTACAAGTCAAGTAAATTGTAGAATACATCTTCTCATTTTTAGTGGTTTGCAATATAATTATGGTAAAATGTAGCCCATTTCCTATTGGTTCTAACTTACTTTTCATTATAAATTTGTCTAGACTAGGATTATACCGTGAAGCAGAAACACAGTTTAAGTCAGCTCTCAGGCAACAAGATATGGTAGATACAGTACTGTACTTGGCAAAAGTAAGTTGGCATTTGTAATTTAAAAAATCATTATTTTAGACAAATGATCTAGAACTCTTGGATTATAATTTAAGTTTTTGTAAGCTAGTTAAAATAGTTAGAATTTCAGTTGCTAATTCTTTTTTAATATCTATAGGGAAGGGTAATTTGGAAGCTTTTTCTACCGCTGTTTGCAACACCTGGGTAAATCTAGTTTTAGAATGTTATTGCATTGCCTGTCCAGCTGTGATACTGGCTGCAGTAGAAATGTTTCTGTATTGTTTCCCCCACCCACCCACTCCTTGTATATGCAATGACCAAGATGCTAGGTATCTAACATCAGTCTCCTGAAGAAATTGGTTTTAATACAAACCTTTCCAAATTCTTGAACAAATTAAAAAAAAACAGCTGATAGACTACCTTGTAATCTCTCTTTACAAATGACTATAGAATACAGCTAAAAGTCAATATATATATATATTGGTGGGCAGTACCTATCCTTATATTTAGTAACCAGCATTTTCCAGCTGGCATCAGCAAGTGCCTTTGACAAGACTATACTGCTGTCCTGTCACATTTGAAAGTTCATTGCTTGCCGTGTCCTGCTGAAGGCCTAACAGAGAAGCCCGCTATCCTAGAAAAAAAATGTAATAGATGGTTTCATGAGCTGGAATGAATGAACTAGTTGTGCAGAGGGATACAAAACACTATTTTAGAAAAGTAAAAACAGTATTTTAGAGGAGTAAAAAGAATGGTGGTATTTTTTAAAACCACGATGTTGTGGCATTATCTGAATTTTGTCCTGGAACATATGTAGAGGCAGTGCCAAAATGTGGAGAGTAGTTTTCTAGACTTAAATGTAGCTGTGCATAGAATTAATACATGCATAGAATTAATACATGTATATATGATTCAGTTGGCAGCTAATTTTCATGGCTATAGTTATTGTAAAAAATTTTAACATTGATGGAGCTACACCCATGTATTTGCCCAGGTATATTCCCGCTTGGATCAGCCTTTGACAGCTTTAAATGTTTTCAAACGAGGTTTAGAACAATTTCCTGGAGAAGTTTCCCTCCTTTGTGGCATGGCCAGGATTCATGAGGTATGCAAATCAAGTTTTTCTCCTACATCAAGAGGATAATTGATGAGTAAGCCCTCAAACAGTTTTTGTTTAAATTCCAGTACCTAGATGTGCAAATAATTTGCTAAGGAGGCAGAATGGGGAAACAACTTTAAGACTAGGCTTGTGGCTTCTTTGTCCTAAAATATAAGAATAGGAGAGCTGACCTATTCTCCAGCTTTAGCAATGTCTCCATCTAGTATTTCTAAAACTGTTGTAATAGCTCTAGGTTTAGAATCTAAATATCAAGGACTGAAATTTGGTATCTTTTAGTTTATCGCTGAGTTATAGCTCTTCTAGCTTCCACTGAAGTAGATGCTTAGACAAAGAAATCATTACCAGATCTTTTTCTAGTATTCATTGTTTCAAGCAATAAAGACATGAAGAATCTAATGAACAAGTTGATTTTTTTGCAGCTTGCTAATGATTTCATGGGTATTGGGAGAATGGAGGGCTTGCATGTACATTAGTAAGAATTTACTGCACTGTACAATTATTTCAAGGATTGCAAAATGGTTAAGAGAATCCTTGTGTGGGGGACATGAACTGTTGGATTGGCACCAGGGGAATTTGGGTTCTAGTCTGTCAGCCATTGAAACTCCCTGAGTGACTTTCTCTCTTAGCCCAAACTACTTCACAAGATATTGTCGTGGAGCAAAATAGGAGGAGGAAGTATTGCAAAAAGGCAAGATTTAAATATAACAAACAAGTATATAGAATTTATTTTTTTAGAGAAGCCTTATTCAAATTTTTTTGAAATGAAGTCATTTTTAAATATGATAAATAGCATGTGCAAATCACGTTTAAGTTGAGTACTGTTTATTACCGCAGTTAGAGTTGAAATGGAAATTTAGAAAGCCTCCATTCAATGCTTTTCAGTTAAAGCTTTTTAATCCAGAAAAGTTTGCCTTTCCACAGATATATGAACTTCAATATTTTCTACTCATTAGAGCCCCCAGACTTTGGGACTGGGAAGCACTTAGACTTTTCAGAGAACATTATGAGTGTGCTTAAAAACAACTGCCAAATGGCATGGTCAGTCACAAAATATCTGTTTCCTAATAAACTAAAAGAAATGTAACTTCTCAAGAAATCTAATACAGTTGTAGTCTTAAGTTCTCAAATCACGATAAAAAGCTGACAGATGCATGCATTCAGATACAGTACACTTTTCTGTGACTGGAAGTCTGTTCATGTTTTACTGATGTCCTCTTTCCTAAGCTAAGCGAGTGTAGGATTGTATCTTTAGAGCTTAGAGGCCTGCTATGTGTTCTTCTGTGGGAAATAAATCTTTTAAAAATCTTTTGATAACAACTGACAGAGAAAATTATATAAACAAGCAGAAAAGGTTGTTTCTTTGCTGAAGAAAACTGATAACTGTTATGTAGTACTGTTTTACCCAACAGCAGTCCATAAACAGAAGTAGGAAATAACCAAAAACATATGGCTACTTACTGTAAGCTAGAAAAAATGGTTAACATATAAAATAAAAATTATAATTATGTGATAAATACATATATGTACATCTTTTCAAGTATATTTTTCTTATTCAATAAAATTAGCAGAGATGTATTTTTTTCACCCTAATTAGTTTTGAAGGGTGTTTTCAGAACCAGAGATGTTAAATTCCAAAGAAATTTCAAGTTTTCTTTCTCAATTACATTGCAATTCATTCAGTACAGTTCCAAAATTTCACCCAGATATGTTTGATGCAGCAGATATTTGAGAATTGTAATAAAAGCTGCCGTTTTTTAGTCCAACATTTTTGTACAATGCTGTTTGATGAGGACTGTGGGTAGGCAATATGTTATATTCAGTCTAAATAGAACAAGAAAGTTAAAACCTAAACCATTAGTGAAAAACTGATCTGAAAATGTTTTGTCCAAAGAATTACAAAATGATAATATATGAGAAGCATTTATAAGATAATATGCAAGCTTGTAGTACTACAGAGCTACTGATAATTTGAGTTTTATTTTATATTGTATAATCTCAGAACATTATTCATGTAATTACTATAATATTCCTTAATATTTAAGGAATCACAACACTTTGTTTTTATTAATCTTGTGTAACTTAAAATACTTTTGTCTTTTCATCTGTTCATAGGAAATGAACAACATTTCTACAGCTGCAGAATACTATAAAGATGTCTTAAAACAAGATAATACCCATGTGGAAGCCATTGCATGCATTGCAAGTAATCATTTTTACTCTGACCAGCCAGAAATAGCTTTACGTTTTTATAGGTAAGAAGATACTGAATATATATATTATTTTTGAAATAGTGAAACAGAATAAAAATAAAAGCCCAAAATAGATGGATATGTGAAAAATATGTTAAATCATATACTAACTCAATGGGTTGTTTGTCCAATTTAAGAATTATAACCCTGATAGGAATCTAGAAAGAAACTACAGCCTAATTTTTGTACATCCATAACAGGTGTTTGTAAAAATATTTAAAAGGGAATCTTGAGTTGCTTCTACATATCTACTAGTTCTGTTCCACAGTCTCAAGGTAGCCTAAAACAGATTTATGATTTCCATCTTTTCCACCAGCTTTGAAAACCCTGGGAACACATGAACTGATTTGTGATCTGTCCTCAACCAATTAATCAGACAACATAAAAGTGGTATTCAAACATTCACCCATCCACCTATATTTTTACTTTGGCTTATTTGCCAAGAGATTTTTCCCATCAAATTTGTTGGAAGGACTACAAAGCTATTAAAGGACTATTCTTCTCTTGCTTTTGAATATTACTGTATTAGAAAGACCTAACATGTGGGAAAGCGGGAAAGACAGACAGACAGACACACACACACACACACAAAATATAGTTTTACTACAATGCTTCATGTATTTCTGATAATATCTCCTGAGAATGTGGCAAACATATTTTCTGTTGATTTTTTTTCAGAAGTATATATTTTCTTGTCCAGAGTAAATATTTGCTCTCTAAATAATGTATTTTATCTACATCTAGATGGAGAGCTTCTCTGTATTCATTTCTCAGTTACAGAAGTTAGCTATTTGTACTAATGTCCCTGACTTTATAGAACAAGAATTACTCAGACTAGCTCGACTGCACAGCCTAAGAAGAAAATTAAAAAGAAAAGTGTTTTATTATATCTGTCAGGTAGTCAAAAGCTATGAACATGTAAGGGTATAATAATGGGTTAGTCTTTAAGGTACTACATATTGTTTTGAACAGCTATTTCCTTTATAGTAAAGTGCTTTTTTAGAGGGCTAAATTTGATTGTTATAGTCCAGGGGTCCCCAACCTCTGGGCCGTGGCCCACTACCAAGCCTTGAGCCTTTTGGAACCAGGCCATGAAGGAGTGTGCATGCACTCTCCTGCCACTTGCACGGAACCATCCCCTTTCTCCCCCCCCCACTGGTCCGCAAATCAAGAAAGTTTGGAGAACTCTGTTCTAGTCAACATTCTCGGGGGGGAAGGAGAGAAAATGCTGAAAATGAGAATATAAGAACTATTGCACCCTGATTTCTTCTTATATTCAGTGAGATATACAGAGATAATGCCCCCTGAATTTTTTTTCCCTAGTCCAGGAGAGGTAACACTTGTGAAAAGACACACTGTATGGATTCTTACTATGGATTGTAATTTGTGATATTAAATGAGATGGGGAAGGAGTCGGGCTGCTGCAACAACTGCCATGCCATGTAATATACTATATAGAACTCACCTTTTTTAGCTTACCTGAAAGGTGGCAGCCTTCTTGAGCTAGGATGCTAAGAATGGTCAGATCTTGAGATTACTTTATTGAGAGACTTCAAGGAATGCTTAGGTTGTAGTCTGCTTTGAAGGGAGACCAGCCTAAGCAATGAATGCCATATAGATCAAGTAACAGCTATAGTGACAAAAAATGCAAGTCTGAATGTGTTTACCCCCTCCCTCACTTTATATTAGTGTGAACTAAAGAGTGGCCTGACACATTTACTCAAACTGGTTTCTTGGAATGGGCTCAAGCCATGCTTGTTATCATTGCCTTGATAGCAACGCTTCCTCCTGTCTTTCAAGGTCATTCTCTATTCCCACTACGGTAGGCTGGAGTGGAAAATCAAAGCTATCCTTGAACAGGCAGGACTGTACCGTTCCCAAGAAAACTTCATGGATATCTCAATGAAGTCAGCAAGAATCAAGCTACTGAATGAGGAGAACTGAAGTGTGTGTGTGTGTGTGTGTGTGTGTGTGTGTGTGTGTGTGTGTGTGTGTGTGTGTGTGTAATTTTGCATGAGGACAAGGAACTTTCAAGAAGCATGCTCCAAAAATACAAATTGACTTATTTACTTTTTATGTTGAACTAGGCGGCTCCTGCAGATGGGCATTTATAACAGCCAACTCTTTAACAATCTAGGCCTCTGCTGTTTCTATGCCCAGCAATATGACATGATTCTCACTTCATTTGAACGTGCACTATCTCTAGCAGAAAGTGAGGAACAAGCTGCAGATGTGTGGTACAACTTGGGACATGTAGCTGTGGTAAGAGTAATGTTTGTTAAGAATACTTTGATGAAATATTTATGCAGAAATGATTAAACGGTAGCCTAGAAAGTGTTAGTGGCCTATAACCTACTTATCAACTATCAAAAAGATGTAAGAAGAAATGTTTTTGCATGCTGCATATCACAATACATTTATTTCCTTTTGAAGAAGATAGAAAAAGTCTCAATGGAGGGTTCTTATACAATATGTTGCTGAAAGGGAGACTGATGTAGCTTACCTGAAAATTTTCCAAACAAAACTTTCATAGCATGTACATTTCAAGGGCATGGAGAAGCAACCTTTGAGAGAAAGTCTTGGTTCTGTTTAATATGAGATAAAGTGACTTCTGAAAATTTCCTTATAAAAATATATTTTATTTCTGTGTATTGATAATTGAAGTGTTAATCATAAGACTGAAAAATGAAAGTAGGCTAACATGAGGATTTTAATACTGATCCAATAAAATTCCCATGATAATTTGCTGATTAATAAAAAAATACTAATTAAAAAAATAGTAAAGATTTGAGGATATTTCTCAGGAATGAGTAACCTGCAGTTTTAGTGACTCTTTTTATTGCAGCCCCCAAAACTCACCAAGAGGGCAAAATTTTTTGGCCCTGCTCATTCAAAGACACTCTAGGATCCCTTGCAACCCTCCAAGAGGCATGATGACAGTACCACAAAAGGGAAGGAAATATGAGAATCTGTATGTAAATAAACAAAATGCAGCCCGAACCAAAGGAAATATGTCCATTCCAGACTTACAGGAATTAGAATAGGATAGTTCTCTGCATGACTAGTTCTAGTGGTCTAATTTCTAAGTTAAATGCATGTTCACATCCTATAGCTATAAATTAATTCTGGCAGAAAGTGGTTGATCATTTGGTAATTTTGTCAAATACCTTTCATTTAAACTGAAATAATGCATGATATTGTCTCCTTTTTTATGCTTTCAAGAAATTTAACACAAGTTCTACTGAATCCAGTAAAAATTCCAGATAGTACAATACTGTTTTCTACAATGATAAAATTAGGAGTCACCTGTTTTGCAAAATGGGCAGCTATATACATTTGAAAAATAACTAAAAATGGAAGAATTATTTCCCTTTTTTACAGAAAAGGTTTGAATGGAAACCCTAACTATAAAAGTTGTTTTAAAACTCATATTGTCACAAACCTTGCCAAAATTACACTCCCATTGTATGGAACATCTTTACACTCTCTTGTGGGAAGTCAGAGCCCCT